CTATCTGCACCCCACAACTAAAATGAAAGTAGATCCCACAAATAACACAACTCAGCGCTTGTATATTACTTTTTTTTGACAAAATTTACAGGTTTTTTGATTATTTTTTAGATTAGCTGCTGCCTTGTGTAACATAACCTCAACATCTAAAGATAGAAAGCTGAAATTTTCAGCGATTCTTAATAGAGAACTACAATCCCTGGAAATTTCAGCTAACTTGGGCAAAACGCATTATGCAATTTGGGGTGTATTTAGTAGATTTTGACTTTAAATCTCAGAATAATTTAGTGTATGGAGTTTGGGGGGGGGTCCCAAATGATCATTTAAACACAAAATCACGACAAAAAAAAATAAAAAAAATAGAAATTTCATCATTTTAGAAATAAGATAGCTACCTCTATTTCAGAATAGTTAAATGTATTTGAGAAAGCGTTGAATTTATTTCAGAATAGTTAAATGTATTTCAGAAAGCGTTAAATGTATTGCAGAATAGCCAAATATATTTCAGAAAGTGAAAATTCGGCGGAAATAATTCAGGAGGGAGGCGACACATAAAATTACCTACCTAGTCTGTGCAGTTTTTTCTATGTGAGCCCGACTGACTCAACAGGAGCTTAATAGTAGCATTTAACTATTCTGAAATATATTTAACGCTATCTCAAATACATTTAACTATTCTGAAATACATTTGACGCTTTCTGAAATATATTCAACTATTCTAAAATACATTTATCTATTTTGAAATACATTTGACGCTTTCTGAAATACATCTAACTATTCTCAAATACATTTAATGCTTTCTGAACTATATTTGGCTATTCTGAAATACATTTGACACTTTCTGAAATATAATTGGAAAAGGTGTAGTAGAGGACTACAATCCCTGGAAATTTCAGCTTCTTTGGACGTATAGTTCCAGAAATAAAATCGCGTTAAGCAGTTTGGGGTGTATTTATCGATTTTTGAATTTCCTGACGTCCTTTTCTCGTAGATTTCGGTTTAAAATCTCAGAATAATTTGATGTATGGAGTTTGGGGGATCCCAAATATTCGTTTAAACACCAATTCTCAATTTAAAAACATTTGAAATTTCGCCATTTTAGTACTAAGTTAGCATTTGACTTGGATTTTTGAAAATTTTGAAAAATCATAACTTTTCTCTATTATAGATAGAAAGCCGAAATTTTCAGCGACTCTTATCCTAGTAGAAGACTACAATCCCTGGAAATTTCAGCTCCTTTGGAAGTCTATGTAGTTCCAGAAGTAAAATCGCCTTAAGCAATTTGGGGTGTATTTATCAATTTTTCAATTTCCTGACGTTCTGTTTTTAAAGATTTCGGCTTCAAATCCCAGAATAATTTAGTGTATGGAGTTTGGGGGATCCCAAATGATCATAAAGACACAAAATCTCAACAAAAAAATTTGAAATTTCATCATTTTAGAACTAAGGTAGCTACCCCATGATTTAGATTTTTCAAAACTTTGAAACATCAAAACTTTTTTCTATTAGAGATAGAAAGTAGAACTTTTCAGCGATTTTTATTCTACACCTTTTCCATAAGTATTTCAGAATGTATCACTTGTATTTCAGATTCATAAATTCTAGCTCAGAATGCGTCAATTGTATTCCAGTTGTGTGAGTTTAATTTCAGAAACTGTTATTTGTATTTCAACTTTGTCAGTTGTAGTTCAGATAACTTCATTTGTATTTAGTTTGGTCACTTGTATTTCAGAAAACGTCATTTGCGTTTCAGATTATTTATTTGTAGATCAGAAATTGTCAATTGTATTTCAGAATTCATCAAATGTATTTCAGATGTCATCAATTTAGTGTATTGAATAAAATTTATAATGGGTCACCTATACACCTAGGTTCTTTGGATTTGGGAAAATCTGCGTAGGTACCTGCGCTCAGCGTTCAAATTTCCATGCTCGTCACATTACATAGTATTTTTTATTTATTTATTTATTTTATTTATTTATTTTATTTATTTATTTATTTATTTATTTATTTATTCAATATACGGGTTCACCCCTTATTACAAAATAGACCTATGTAGTAAAGGACTATGATCCCTGGAAATTTCAGCTCTTTTGGACGTATAGTTCCAGAAATTAAATCGCGTTAAGCAATTTGGGATGCATTTATCAATTTTTCAATTTCCTGACGGCCTTTTTTCATAGATTTCGACTTCAAATCTCAGAATAATTTAGTGTATGGAGTTTGGGGGATCCCAAAGGACTATGTCGATACAAAATCTCAGCAAAAAAAAAAAATAGAAACTTCGTTTTAGTAAGAAGGGGGAGCTGGCGTCAAAAACATGCAAGAGTTTTCGCAAGGCGGATATTTTCAAAATAGGTCGTACTTTAGTGTTAGAATGCTAGTCTACAGTCAGCACTCACAGTTCCGGGACAGCTGGCTCTGGGACGCGCGCAAAGTTGTAATTTTAAGAAGCATCTAAACTGTTTTCTCAAAGCTCAAAATTTATAGAAATTTTGCACATTATCTGTTTGAAGGTTACAGATAACGTATGTAAATCGTCAGACGTCTAGTTCGTTGCAAAAAGGGGGTCAGACGTCCTCAAAGTTTTTATTTTATGGCATTTTCTTCGGTTTCCTGTCAAAATATATTTTTGCAGGTATTTGACAAATATATTTGAAGAAAATGCCATAAAATAAAAACTTTGAGGACGTCTGACCCCCTTTTTGCAACGAACTAGACGTCTGACGATTTACATACGTTATCTGTGACCTTCAAACAGATAATGTGCAAAATTTCTATAAATTTTGAGCTTTGAGAAAACAGTTTAGATGCTTCTTAAAATTACAACTTTGCCCGCGTCCCAGAGCCAGCTCTCCCGGAACTGTGAGTGCTGACTGACTGTACACTAGCATTCTAGCACTAAAGTACGACCTGTTTTGAAAATATCCGCCTTGCGAAAACTCTTGCATGTTTTTGGCGCCACCTCCTGGACTATTATGATTTAGATTTTGGGAAACTTTGAAGGGTCATAACTTTTGCAGTTTGGAGGGTCCGAAATAATCATTTCAACACAAAATCACAACTTAAAAAAAAATTGAAAGCAGTAGAGGACTACAATCCCCGGAAATTTCAGCTCTTTTGCACGTATAGTTCTAGAAATAAAATCGCGTTAAGCAATATGGGGGGGGGGGGGGGGGGGGTGTATTAATCAATTTTTCAATTTATTGACGTCCTTTTTTTATAAATTTTGGCTTCAAATTTCGGAATAATATAGTGTTTTGGGGGGTCCCAAAATGATCATTTGAACATAAAATCACGACATTAAAAAAATTGAAATTTCATCATCTTAGTCTTATAAGGTAGCTACCCTATGATTTAGATTTTTGCAAACTTTGAAACATCGTAACTTTTTTCCATTATAGATAGAAAGCTGAAATTTCCAGCGATTCTTATTCTAGTGGAGGACTAAAATACCTGAAAATTTCAGTTCAGTTAAAATTATAGTTCCGGAGTTAGGGATGAATTCATAGATTTGCGAGTCAATTTGTCAATTTCCTGATGTTCTTTTTCATAGATTTCGGCTTCAAATCTCAGAATAAATTAGTGTACGGAGCTTGGGGAGTCCCAAATGATCATTTAAACATAAAATCACAACATACAAAAATTTTTTCAATTTATTGACGTCCTTTTTTCATAAATTTTGGCTTCAAATCTATAATGTAGTGTTTTGGGGGGTCCCAAAATGATCATTTGAACATAAAATTTCATCATCTTAGTCTTATAAGACCCTATGATTTAGATTTTTGCAAACTTTGAAACTTCGTAACTTTTTTTCCATTACAGATACGATTCTTATTCTAGTGGAGGACTTAAATACCTGAAAATTTCAGTTCAGTTAAAATTATAGTTCCGGAGTTAGGAGATTGGGGTGAATTCATAGATTTGCGAGTCAATTTGTCAATTTCCTGATGTTCTTTTTCATAGATTTCGGCTTCAAATCTCAGAATAAATTAGTGTACGGAGCTTGGGGAGTCCCAAATGATCATTTAAACATAAAATCACAACATACAAAAATTTGAAACTTAATCATTTTAGTACTAAGGTAGCTAGCTACCTTATGATTCGAATTTTTGAAAATTTTGAAACATCATAACTTTTCTATTAAAAGTAGAAAGCTGAAATTTCCAGCGATTCTCATCCTAGTAGAGGACTATACTCCCTGCAAATTTCAGCTCCCGTGGATGTATAGTTCCAGAAATAAAATCTCGTTATGCAATTTGGGGTGAATTTATCAATTTTTCAATTTCCTGATGTCCTTTTTTCATGGATTTCGGATTCAAATCTCAGAATAATTTAGTGTATGGAGTTTGGGGGTTTCAAATGATCATTTGAACCTAAAATCACAACATAAAAAAATTGGAATTTTCATCATTTTAGTGCTAAGGTAACTACCCTATGATTTGGATTTTTCAAAACTTTATCATCATAACGTTTTTTCTATTATAGTTAGAAGGCTGAAATTTCTAGCGATTCTTATCCTCATGGACGACTACAATCCTTGGAAATTTCAGCTCATTTGGACTTATAGTTTTAGAAATGCACTTGAAAGTTCTACATGGGAACCATGTATCTAGTTCAACAAGTAGGTCATCAAACCAACAGATAGTTTGGGTAAACAAACTTTGCACAATTCACAGAAAAAAAAAATGTTTTCATTCAAACCAGAAATCTGGCCAATCCGAAATCTTTTATGCCATCGAACATGACATCATTACCTCGATAATTCAATATACAACATATTCCTAAATATACGCACCCTGTATACTAGAATAGACTCGAGCGGGATTCATGGGAAGGTAAATAAAAACAAATCAATCAAGCCAGAGAGAATCCAGGAAAATTCGGAGAAGAGAGCCAGAGCGTACAAGCATCATGCCCTGGAAACCAACATAAATTCAGCTGCGTGAAACGGGCTTCTATTGGCTTTTTCGGGATGAGGGGAAACCTTTAGTTTGGGTGTTTCTGTTGTCTCGTGAGTTACACGATTGAACTCCTGTTATTTATACACAATTTTTATTAGATAAACGTAAAGATTTTATATACTATCATATGGACAAACGTGCTATTTTTGTATAATGCTTTATATGTTGCTCGTAGCGTCGGTGTTTAAAACGTAAATAGATGGTTCCTCGATATTGTAGGGTATTTTTCTATGTGGTGTCTTAAATGTTAAATGTGCTCTATGTGCTTAAAATAATAAGTAAACTATAAATATATATTCCTATATAAACTATATACACGTAAATATTTTATATTTAAAAATATACATAAGCAATAATATACAAACGAGAATCTATTATTATTATTAAGATGCCCAAAGAGAAAACTAAATTTGAGCTAAGCATTTTCAAAAGAATATCGATTAATGAACATAAATTCGGTAAATCCTCTGATCAAAACAATTCTGGTGTAAAAAGCCCCGAAAATAGGCTAAAAAATGCTGCGCCATATGCTTATGCCGAGGTAAGTTGATATTGTTTACTTGTTTCCATTTTATTACAATCATTTCCTTTCGAAAAATATCTGGAAAATAATATCCATAGTTAAAAAATAATAAATTATTCACACCATTTGATGCAAATAGGAACATACATATTAATTAATGTCCCGAAAGCGGACATCGATTTGTCATGCACGACTAGATTTCAACACCAATTTACTATCGAACATTTAGATTAAAATGGAATAATTAATTTTCGTGTTTTGTTTTTTATTCGCACAATTCATTTCACTCCACGAATTAACATGCAATGGAAAAATGATTTGACAATTCGGTTGGAACAATTGAGTTATATATCGATTGTCATTTGGTCATGGATTTAATCTTGTAAAAGTGTAACTGTAGAGACGGCTTTATTTTTTATTGACAAATTGGTAATTATCTTACGATTTTAACTTGACCGTCTTTATTTGAAGGTAATGAGAATAGTATTTCTTCGTTCGCCAACACTCAGCATTCTGTTTGTGAAGACCAAAGGAAATCGAAGATGATCAAAATAATCTATTATCCGTTCACAATCCGATGTCCATAGGTACAGGTAAAATTTATCACCTTTCAATTCTATATGATAGAGAAAGGTAATAAATTTACCTGTACCTGTGGACATCGGATTGTGAATAGTATATTTAGTATTTTTAATACCTATTTAGAAGTACCTGTCGTTTTAGTGACAAAACGTATGTCGCTTCTTGACACACAAATAAAATTAGGTTAGGAATTTCCTATTTGTAGATGAAATTGACGTATTAGCAATCGACGTTCGTTTTTGTTGGTAATTTTTTGTTTCATCTGATTCATGATTGATAAATAAGGATGGGGTTATTCTAAATGGGTATTACAAATACTAAAATCTGTTTTTTTTTTAAGATAATTCCCCAAGTCAAAAATTTAGTAACTATGTTGGCAACACAAGCCTTTTCTACATGAAAAATTTGATAGCATTGACAATTTCACATTGTATTGCCAACCTGATGTCAGTTTGACTTTAAAAAAAAACGCACTTTATACCTACTATTGTTTATTCACAATCTGTAGTCCAAAGGTACAGGTAAAATTTTTCACCTTTCAATGCTATTTGATAGGAAAAGGTGATAAATTTACCTGTACCTTTAGACTACAGATTGTGAATAGGATATATGTCAGCATCAACTATTACTTCTAGCCTTAGTTCGGTATACTGCCTATTCTCCAACGTCCTGGTTTTCTCTCCAAAAACATTTATTTATCAAATCTGCTCTAGTATTTAGTAGCAGTTAATTCTCCAACAACACACATAGTCCTTAGAAACCTTTTCGGGGCGTATCACTGATCTTGATGCCCCCATGGCGATGGTCAAATCACATTTCTTTCGTTTAAGGTTGTCCAACACCCCTAATTTGGGAGCAAGGGAATCAGTGCACACTGGCAAGGTGATGTCTGAAGTCACCTACAACTTCTGTCAAATATCCTTCTCCGTCGCAGCTGTAACTGTTGGTGCAATTGTTCTTTTTGATTCGCAATCTTCATTCAAAAAGTATTTCTGCAGTATTACCTATAGCTTTCCAAAAATATCTGCCTCAGGTGTTCGGGCTTTCTTTGGATATCCCTAATTTTGCTTCGTCTATTACTCTGCACGCTTGCTGCATGTGTGTATCTCTTACTCAATCGATCAACTAGGATATCTGCAAGAATCATGCGATGTCTGCACTATCTCAGAAAGTTTTTCCGTAATAGTTTATTTCTTTTGCCCTTGTTTACAAAGTATCGAATTATTTATAGAAAGGAAATGTTGCAAAAGAACTTTAGTAAACGAATTTCCAATTCTAATAACACTCAAAAGGAGGCATGGTCTATAATTAATGAAATAAGAGGTAGAAGTTCTCCCCCCAGGTCTCTTCATCCGACCTGTCTCCTAACAATTTAAATATTTTTTTTTTTTGCTCTATAGCTGGAGTTCTTTCGTCTCATCTCGACTCTGTGATCAATCCCTTGCCTTTGACTATTTGACAGAAAAGAATGTCTCAAATTCCTTCTTCTTGGCACCAGTCGATGTTCCTGAAATCAAAGAAACCCTTATAACATACAAAAACAAAAATTCCACGGGCTATGATGACATATCCATTAAACTATTCTTCCATCTTAACGATAGGGGTTTTCGTGCATTTGGAGATGCAATAAATGATTCATTTGAAAAGGGTTATTTCCTAATTTCTTTAAGCACGCAGTGGTTGTACCTCTTCACTCAGACTCTCCAGCAAATTTCCGTCCTATTTCTCTTCTTCCTTCACTTGGTAAGCTGTTTGAGAAACTGGTAAAAATAAGAGTTCTTTAATTCCTCAATCTAAACAGGTTCGTCTCCGATATTCAATTTGGATTGCAGTGTGGCAAAGGAAAATCTGATGCGATATTCTCCCTTCTGAAAGATATCTATTAAATCTACATATTTAAGTTCACATGAGAATCACCATCCAGCAGCGGTGTTTTGTGACTTGTCGATCATTTTGTGTTGCTCCGTAAGCTTGAAGTGTAGTGTATGGTTTTAGAGGTGTGAATCTAAATTGGTTTCAGTCGTATCGACTTAAGTGATCGTCAGCAGGTAGTTTCATAAAGGGGCGGAGTTTCGGATAAAATGAGAAACAACTGCAGTGTGCCTCAGGGCTCTATCCTTGGCCCCCTTTTGTTCTTGATCTATATTAATGATCTAGCCTCTCTCAAGGTCGAGGAAGTATTAGATTTTCGCTGACGACACGTCTATTGTCTGGCATGCGAACAGTGGAGAATTAATAATAATAATAATAATGTCTTTGCAATCTTAAGATAAAATTACAAAAGGCGAAGTTGAAGCTAGGCTTCCTCACTTAACCTAATACAATAACTTAAACCTAACCGATACGAATGAATAGAAAAATAAATTTGAAAAAAAAAATTGGGAAGGCTGGATAGACTAAGGTGCAGCGTTAATTTGTTTAATCAAATGGCCTTTTGCATTTTTGAAAAATTGGGTGGAAGCAGATTTCAAGTTAACAGGAACTTTATTGTACTGTAGCGAGATTTGATAAGTGAATGACCTTTCATATAAAGTTGTTTTGTGTAGAGGAGGAGTGATGGTTAGTTTATGCCTCAAATCCAGAGCATGAGAGTCATATCTAAATTTTATTTTCTGATATAAATAATCCGGACATTTTTTAAAAATTATTTTGTTGTACATTACTAAGCTATGGAGCAGTCTCCTCTCACTCATGCTGAACCACCCTATTTCCCTCATCTTATCACTCACCCCTCTGTCATACTTCCTTATGCTACCTACCAAACACACGCAGCAATTCTGAATCAGTTGGATACGTCTGGCATCACAAATACAGAGCATCACAAAATGTGAATTGTGATAGAACCAGACTGTCACATAGCGATTTCCAGAGATTAGCATTCAAGAGGCGTCTCTCATTGAAAATGCCTTTCTAATACAATTATTAATATGTTATGTAAACCTAAGGTTAACATCAAGCAAAAGTCCAAGGTATCTAGCTGCCGCTGAGCAACTCAAAGCCTGACCATCAAGGCTGATTCGAAGCATGTCCTGACATTGAGATCGACTTTGCGCACGTCCAAAGAGCAAAACTTGACACTTTTTAGGATTAAGCAGCAAGCAGTGATTAATTGAGACCCTCAGCAGCCGGTCTAGGTCCGCATTTAGTTTATCGTTGGCTTCAAAAATGTTTTCTGGACGAAATGACATATAAAGTTCGGTATCGTCTGCGTACAGGTGCACATTGGCGTGGCTCAAGCTGTTAGTTAGTTGTGAGGTGTACAAAGTAAAAAATAAAGGCCCCAAAATCGATCCTTGAGGAACACCACGTGCAACATCCAAAGATCCCGACACGCTAGGGCCAACCTTCACCGACTGTGTTCTTTTAGAAAGGTAACTTTCAATAAGTTGGCAGGCGTTTTTTTCAAAGCCAAGATACCTCAGAATTGCCAAGAAAAGATCATGGTCCAGTCGATCAAAAGCCTTCGAATAGTCCAGCAAGATCAAAGCAGTGAGTTCACCAGAGTCAGCCGCCTCGAGAATATCGTCAGTAACCTTTAGAAGTGCTGTTGCGCAACTGTAGTCTTTACGAAAACCAGACTGAACAGAAGGTAGCAACTGGTGAGCTTGGATGAAGTCACGAATCCGGCTCTCCAACACTCTTTCCAGGAACTTCGAAAGTGTTGACAAAATGCTTATGGGTCTAAGATCCTTCAACTCCTCAGGGACGGGAACCTTAGGGATCGGAAGCAGAAAAGAACTTTTCCAGACATTTGGAAAGAATGAAGTCTCTATGCATGAGTTAACAAAGTGTACAATAAAGGGAAGGATGTGAGGACAACAGACACAGCATGGACAGTCCAATGCCATCAGTACCGACAGCCAATGACTTGATTGAAAAAAAGGCTGTGTGAACCTCCTCAGGGGTGGCAAGTCTAAACTCAAAAGAGCCGACATCATGTTTTCTAGTTTCGCGATAGAAGAGTGACGTAGCTAAATCAGGGGTTGATGAAGAAGCAGCATTTATAAAAAATTGATTTATGTCATCCACATTACCAAGATGTTCGGGAATGGATATAGGATCCTTCGAATATATACCGAGCTCCCTAAGCAGCTTCCAATTATTGTTGGGATTGCCTATATTCAAATTGGTTTCAAGGTAGTTTTTTTTTCTCAGTTTGAATCGCGATTGTGACTTGATTACGAAGCCGTCGATAGTTTTCCCAGTTTTCTGGCGTGTTACGTTGCTTAAATTTAGATAGGGCATTGTTCCGTAGCTTCATAGTGAGCCTTATATTGGGGGAAATCCAGGTTGTCTTTTTTTTTGTTACCCGGGCATTTCTAATGGGGGCCTGCCTATCAAACAAGCCTAAAATGTATCTATTGAATGTTTCCAGCTTTTCATCGACATTCTGCAGATAAAAGATATTATGAAGAGGTATATTAAGGAGATCAGCA